AAATTAGAGTAAGCTGATTATCTCATCTTTCAGACATTAGATCTATGTACCATGTGGCTAAAATCCCCTATCTGGGCTATTCATTTGGTCTTACCTGTTGGTAGATAAGGCAGAGCCGGGGCTGCCATAGTAAATGGTTTAGGGTTCAAGGATTCTGCTGCAGTGACCCACCTTTGCTGGTATAGAATTATAATACAAAAGTAGAGAGAGTAGGGACACCCGTGGGTGTGGCCATGTTCTAGAACACTTTATTTATGGACCCCCAAATCTGAATTTAATATAATTTCTACGTGTAACAAAATAGTCTTCTTTTGACTATTTTTTGTGGTTTTAAAAGTAGAAATACCATTCTTAGCCTGTGGGTCATATAAAAACAGGTGGCAGGCCACATTTGTTCCCTCAGGTAGGTGTTTGTTTTAAAAACTTCCTCCAGGCTTGGTGCCTGGAGCTCAGTGGTTAAGGCACTAACCACACGCACTGGGGCTGGCAGGTTAGAACCTGGCCTAGGCTTGCCAAACAACAACTGCAACAACAGAAAAATAGCCTGGCATTGTGGCAGGCGCCTGTAGTCCCAGCTACTTGAGGCTAAGGTAAGAGAATCGCTTAAGCCCAAGAGTTTGAGGTTGCTGTGAGCTGTGACACAATGGCGTTTTACCAAGACTCTGTCTCAGAAAAATAAATTAAAAAAATTTAAACTTCCTCCAGACAACACAGCAAGATCCCAGATCTTATCTAGTCGCATTAGGTTTTTGCAATTCTTACCTGTACACACCAGATAGTGCCCGATGTGTTCCATAAGAGGCAGCGTGAAGGAGAGGCAGCAGGCCCTATTTTAAGGAATCTGTGAAATGGTAACACCACATGGGACAGATATACAAGAAACGGGGTGTTGGGGGGATCTTGACAGATTCCAGGGGCAGCCAGATGGGAGAGAATTGGGTCTGTGAGCATAACTCAGAGGAGGTGGCCCAGGCAGGGGTACAGCACAGGGAAGGGCGTGCAGGTGCTGGTGGAGCTGCTGCTGAGACCCCTGGGAGAACGCGTTTATCAGGGTGCTCCGGGAGACGGTGGGCCTCCTGTCTGGACTCCTAGCACACTGGGCCCATGTCTCTATAGCTCTCATCCTGTCATGATACAGTTTACTGTTCCCATTCCATCTCCTACAACAGGCCACAAGCTTTTTAATCTCAGGCCTGCAGCCTGGCAGACCCTTGCCTCCAGAGCGGATGATCAGATGGGGGCCTCCCCGCCATGGGACTGGCGTTGTAGCTGCTGCCACCATCTCCAGGCAGGGAAGGCAGAGGACTCACGCAGGCTGGACAGCTTTGTGAATAGAGTCCTAACTCTCTGCAGGATTTAGGAGTTTCAACTTTTAGCTTTCCTGATCTGTGAGTGGAAGGACTAGCTTTAAGTGACGTCAAGGTCCCTGCCTGATGCTGATCCAGGAGGGTGGGGTGCACTTGCGTCTTCCTCCCTCCCCTCTCTGGTTGTCCTCCCCGGGTTGCAGTGATTGCACTGAGCTCAGTAGAGTTCCTGCATCCAGAGAAGATTGGTTTTCTCCCAAGGAGGCGTAGGATGGGGCAACCAGGACATTTACCACATCTCTCACTTATCTTTGTCATTACCAGCTTTACCTAATGGTGAAGAGACTAGTCTGGAGCCACACAGCCTGGGTTTGAATCCTGGTTCCACAATTCACTAGCTGCTGACCGGCAAGGTCACTTCTGGGTACCTTAGTTTCCTCCCCAGTGCAATGGAGACAATGGTAGTTTCTCCCCCAAGAGTCCTCATGATGATTAAATGAGTGATTGTACATGGTGTGCTCAGACCGGTGCCTGAGTGGCATCACCGCCCACTGGCCAACCTGTGAAGGTGACCAGCCCCTGGCAGCAGGGGCTTTGGGGTGTGCTGCCCAGCTTCCCGTCAGCACCATCCAAGGGCATGAAGCTCTGCTATTCTCAGTCTAATTCTAACAGGAATGTGTTTGCTCTTGTCAGGAGTGTGCTGATGTCACCTCCCCAGCTCTATCACTAGCTGAACTGAGGACAGCATGCAGCGAGAGCGAGCTGGCCGCAGAGTTCGCCAACGCCGTCCGTAGGTAAGTGCCCTGCCCACGCCCGGCCCCAGTATGAGGCTTCCTTAGAATTTCTCGGGCTGCTCACGGCAGCATCTCTGGGGGCCCCACAGGCCTGCCTGGGCAGGAGGGGGGCAAGGTGGGCCATCCCTTCGGCCTACTTGGGAGGCCAGAAGAGAACCCCAGCCTGTGCCTGGCCTTTTGAAAGCAAAGTGAGCACAGGGCAGCACACTTTCTAATTTCATATGCAAATTAGAAATGCGTCCTCCTTTCCTTTTTTATGTTGTTGCTTTGGCCAGGACCTTCAGGACTGTGTTAAATAGTGAGATGAAAACACACTTACCTTGTTCCCGGCTCTGGGAGTGCTGTCCTTGCTGGTAGAATGAGAAAGGCTCATGCGTCTATCAGTCCTAAGATATTTTCCCCTGCCATCAGTTTTCTCCTACATCATCTTTCCTCCCTTCCGCAAGGAGAAACAGATGCTGGTTCATCTAGATTTGTCTTCTGCGTCTTAACTTTTCCTATATCCTATTGTTCTTTTTCTCTGGGTTCTAGAGCAGCTGCTCTGTCCAGTAGAAATGTCATCTGGGCTGGGCGCAGTGGCTCACACCAGTAATCCTAGCACTCTGGGAGGTTGAGGTGGGTGATTACTTGAGCTCAGGAATTTAAGAACCAGCCTGAGCAAGAACAAGACCCCATCTGTGCTAAAAATGGAAAAATTAGCCGGGCATGGTAGTCAGTATCTGTAGTCCCAGCTACTCAGGAGGCTGAAGCAGGAAAATGCTTCTGCCCAAGAATTTGAGGTTGTTGTGAGGCCATGGCATCTGGGTGACAGAAGGAAAGAGTAGGACTCTGTCTCAAAAACAAAAAAAAAACCCTTTCTGTTGTTGCTGGGGCCTGGGAGTGGAGGGGAAGGCTGTACTGTGTTCCTAGTCTGAGCTCTCAATGCAGCCAAAGCAGGCCCGGCCCCAGGCTGATGGTGGATGGAAGGCTGCCTCGTGGGGGACTTCACTACCTTCCTGATTGACTCACTGCCACCTTCTGGCTTTCCTTCCGAGTTGTGATAGCTCTGCTTTCCTTTGCCAGTGCCTCTGGCCGTGTGCTTAACTGGTAATTGCTCTGCTTGGTGTGGGAGGAGGGAAGCAGCCCAGAAAAATGCCCTCGGGACTGTACCAGGAACTCCAATGGAAATCTACTCCCTGCTTCCCATGGGGAGTCATTTGGATGTAGTATCTGTAAGCTAAACCCTTAAGATTTCTGAACTTCCCCAAACCTCAGAGGCTTTCGCTGGCACAAGTAGGTTGTGCTGACTAAAGGAAAGGAGATTTCATTTGTTCAGTCAGTCACAGGGGATTTCCAATAACCAGCCTTGAGTTGGTTAACACGAATTTCTAATCAAGGCCCAGGTATACGGAGCCAAGAAAGACCCCAAAGAGCTCAAGGAAAAAGGAAAATAACATAATTATACTGTAAACATGGACTAATCATTTCATGAGGGTATATAATCCAGACACCTAAGAGCTGAAGTTCAGGGTTATTTTTATTTTTAAAAATCAGATGGAAATTAATGCCTTTCTCTGAAGGTATTAAATCGCGACTGAGCAAGGGGCTGAGGTCGGTCAGAGGAGTCTCACCGTGCTCTCAGGAGTATTCCTCTCTTGATAAAGGATGGCTCCCCATGACAGACTTGCCCCAGGAATCCAGATCAGAGAGAGCAGGGTTGAGAAAGGCAGGGGGAAGAGGCCACGCCTGGTCATCTCTTGAGGACTGCCATCCCAGGGAGGGTGGCCTGTGGCACTTCGGTCACTGGTTCTGGGCCACGGCCCTCTCCCAACCCATACCCCCATTGCTAGGCCAGCTTTGGTCTCGGTTGGACCTTGTCACTTCTTCCACCACACCTGGAGTGCCTTCTCTTTCTCCTGTTTGGAACAAAACCAGGGCTCCGTGCCACCCTACAGACCGCATAACTGCCTTCTGGTCTGATTTCATTTCCTCCACTTCTGTGATCATTTATTATAGTTTATTGGGTCCAGTATTGCCATAAACCCCCATCTGGATGACCAGGTTCCAGTCCTGCACACGAGGTATGTTCTCTCATCAGGGAATCTTGTTTTTGCTCTTGTACACAGACTGCGTGCTGTCAACCCCTTCTCCGTCTCAGATCTCTCTCTTGCCCTTGGTCCTAATAAAATTTAACTGAATAATCTTTCTACCAAAGAAGACAACTATAAGAAGGCAGCTAAAGACGGGATTTTCAGAAATGAGTCTTCTTGGTACTTGTGTGGGGATTGTGTGGCCAGCTGAGAGGAACACATTAGTTCATCTCTATCACTGAGAGGCAGCTGGAATGGGAGCCGCTCACTCTCCATGTGATCTGAGAGGATGGTGCAGCAAGGCTGTGATTTCCCAAGGTTACCAGAGCGCCCCTGGGGGCCGCCTACACCCCACATGTGCTGGCAGAGCCTGGTTTACTTGCAAATGAGTGAGCCGAGCCCACTCCTGTGAATTCCTCTGAGACTCTAGACGGTATAGTGCAGCTGGTCTGGGCCAATGGGAACCTCTGTGACCCTGGCACACAGCCACCTATGATTCTACCAAGTGTTGAAGCCAGTACCTGTAGTCCCAGCTACTTGGGAGGCTGAGTCAAGAGGATCTCTTGAGCCCAAGAGTTTGAGGTTGCTATGATCTATGATGCCACAGCATTCTACCAAGGGCAACAAAGCAAGACTCTGTCTCAAAACAATTAAAATTAAAAAATAGTAGAATCTGCACCATTTTATTAGGAAGATCATTACTTTAAAACTGTTAACAGTAATGCTGTTTTATTAAACTTGCACTTGTAGGCAGACAGGTGGCTTACACCTGTAATGCTAATATTCAGGGAAGCCGAGGTGGGACAACTGATTGAAGTCAGAGTTGGAGAGCAACCTGAACCAAGAGCAAGACTCAATGGCTAGAAAAACTAGAAAACTCACTGGGCATGGTAGCCCGTGCTTGTAGTCCCAGGTGCTTAGGAGGCGGAGGCAGGAGGATCACTTGAGCTCAGGAGTTTGAGTTTGCAGTGAGCTATGATGACGCCACTGCACTCTAGCCCAGGTGGCAGAGCGAGACCATCTCAAAAAAAACAAAAAACCTTGTACTTGCTGAATCTTCATATATGGCTGATTTATAATAGCAATCAAGAATAGAAGTTGTGCTTAGAATCCCATGAAGGCACATGGGTCTGCAGGACATTAATGGAACACAAAGTGCACCTGTGGGTTCATTATCATATACATAAATCGCTGAGCCCCAGAGCCGGGATGCCTAGAAGGGCATAGATTATGACTGGTGCTCACCCTCCGGGTGGAGGTGGGTGTTGCTTGCATAATTGAGATTTCTTTTACTTTTCTATCATTCTTGCAGTGTTGCAAAAGGTCAGGGAGAAAAAGGCCTCCCCGTGGCTCTCACAAAGGCAGAGTGGTAGGGAGCAGCCAGCACAGTGCAGCTGTAGTGAAAACACTACCCGCATTTCCTGGACAGGAAACCTGTTCACAGAAAAGTCTGGGCAAAAACAGGCTGCTGTCACCCTCGTGCTGCTACTCCTGGCAAAATCCAGCCACACTCAAATAGCATAGGGACACTAAATCCTTAGTTCCACAGGCTGTGTACTTAACCAGAGATCTCACTTATCCCGTGCTTGCCCATGTCCCAGCTGTGAATTACAAGGTACTCTGGAGAAAGCACAGCAGGCTGCAGGTGGGAGCTCCACTCTGCAGGCTGCTGGCTACAGGCAAGGCTCTCAACTGGCTCAAGTGCCCCAGGCTTCAGGCGCCCCATCTATAAAGTCAGAGTAACAGTACTGACTTCAGAGGCTGGGTCAGAATTAAACTATCTGGGTTTTCTAAAAAGTAAGTTATAGATTCTGATGATTACCAAGAAGGAAATAAGGTGACACAAGATCCTCACTCTGGATACTTTTCTTTTTCAGTCAGGTCAGTATGGTTTGCAGTCAGAAGGAAGTGACAGAGTGTGTGCTTTGTTTAGATGGGTGGTCAGGGTGGGCCTCTCTGAAAAGCAGGGAGGAGGAGAGAGGCAGAAGCACATCCAAGAGAGGACAGGCGGGACTCCAGTGTGGGAGGCCCGTAAGCAAGGGGAGGAGAGCCCTACTGGCCAGGGAAGCAGGGACTGGTCGAGGTTCGCTTGAGAAGGGCCTTATAGGGTGGGGTAAGACCAGAGGCTTTATTCTAGTGCTGAAGGGTGGTAATGTGTTCTGGTCTGTGATTCTGAAAACTCTGCCTGCTGTGTGAAAACTAGATGAGAGGTGGAGAGGAGGAAGCAGAGAAGCCAGTTAGCCAGCTATGGGGGTTACTCCAGAGAGAAAGGGTGGAGGTGGCGGCAGAATCTGCAAGATGACGAGATTGGAGATTGAGTAGCCGGGATTTGCAAGGATGCGGGGATGCTGTTAAGGACTCTGAGTAACCTGTGAGTGGCCAGGTGACGGGTAGTGCCCTCTGCTGACACGGAGTGGAGCCAGAGAGGCTGTGGGAGATAATTCAAAAACAACATTCTGGACGTGTTTGGGGAAACTTCAACTAGACAAGTCCAGAGATCCAGGGAGATGCCTGCAGATAAAGGAAGCTTTTAGCATACAGATCTTAGGAAAACAAAAGGCAACGCAGAGGATGGATTAGAGAAAGGATAAACCAAATATGGCTGGGCCCATGTCCAGTGTAACTGCCCATCTTCAGGGGAGCATGTGGGGAGGAGGGTGGAGACCTCACAGGAGAGGGAGTGGCCCCAGGTGACTGTGTAGATGGTGCTGAGAGGGAACTGAGAGAAGCAGAGGACCATCAGTCTTCACCACAGGTGACCTCAGCGAGCTGTGTCAGTGGAGCCAGAGCCTCCTGGGGTACGAGAGTTAATAGACAGTGAGGACTAGAGCAGCCCACATATGCAGACAGTTCTCGCAGTGACTAATTCCATATAATCAGCAATTACTAAGAAATTCTGGCCTTGTGGCTACACGGCTGTGACTCCCTGCG